TATCGATCTTATATAATCGATTCGCTATAAAAATCTATACCTGTGTGCGCACGATACGAAAAAAGTAAACAATTATTTGAAATATATTTTTTATTTTTTTTATTTCTCCGTAATTGTGTTCAATATTGTGTAATTTTATTTTTTCTTTCTCTAATTTTATTTTTTCCGACGCTATGTGTCATTACATTTTGTTGTATAGTTTAGAAAGTTTGCTCTATTAGTAAATAAAAAAAATAATATAAAAAAATAGTATAAAAATAAATAATACAATATTACATATCTACAACGTAGATGGAGTGTTATTGGTATTGCAATTTTATATCCACGATAAAAGAATTTTAATGACTAGCGTGTATAGTGATGTAGATGTGTAATGTATGTAGTAACGTGTAAACAAAAAAACATTGTAATAAGACTGCCGACGTTAGCGATCACCCATGCGAGGCATTCGAACGAAAAAGCGCCGCAAAAATGCAAGTCGGATGAGAGCTGCAACGAGAGGGATGTTTACTCCCGTTGTAAAAGCGGCCGTGCGTACACAAGTACACGGTCTATAACACGGTGTGTGGCGGGATCGATAGCGAATGAAACTCAAAGCAGCCGCAACGACGACACCGCCATTGGTTTACTACTCGTAAAACAAGGCGTCGTTCCCGACGGGCGGGATGTTAGGGCTCGCGAGCCGCCCCACGGACGCTACCCTTCGTGAGCTGAGTCACGACGACGGCTTCGTTTCCTTCGACTTCCTGCCTCCTGGCGCACGGGCTGATGCGCCGCCGATAATCGATACTAGGAATCACTCGTCTGTGGCGGCTTGTGTGCTTTTGCACGAGATTAAGAACCTCTCGTTTGCCAACTGTTATTTAATATTGGATCCAAAAGTAAAAAAAAAACAAAAAAAAAACGAAAACAAAAAGAAAGAACGTACTGTATTTCTTGTTCATTGATTCCTTTTATTATGTCTTGAAATGTGAAGTAAAATTGAAATGTGAAGATAAAAAATATCAAAGAATATTCATTATTCAACGATACAACGATGTCAATTGCGAAATAATTTAAGAGTTCGAATAAAGTAAAAGAAAAGAATATTTATTCTAAAACTTAACATATTAAATAGATATTATAACAAATTTTTACCTTGTGAAAGTTTAAAACTACTTAGCAGATGGTTTAAGATCAATACGAGCTAATGTTACGTGCAAATATATTTTTGAACGTGTAAATTTTATATACACTTAAAAATTCAAATTGATATCAATTCAAAAATGCATCTAAAATGTTTCATTTTTTTTCTCCAATATATGAGTCATCCGTTTTACCTCGCTATGAAATTTAAAAAATTCTCTGCGAAAACGACACCTTGACCGAAACTTTTCGCATCCTGTGTAGTATAATGTGATTAATATGTTATATCTAACTTTTCACATGTGACAGAGTTAAATATTCGACTGTGTCACATTACTGCAACATTTCTAGAATTTTATTTCAAAAGTCTATATCCGTATCTTTTCAAATATATTCAATTGTTTTTTGCTACAATGAATACGGAGCTAAGAGTGAGATATAAAATAAAAGACTGTGTATATTTTAAAAAAGTATATACATGTGTGTGTGTGTGTGTGTGTGTGCGTGTTGAATAAAATGCCAGTGGAAATATATGTAAATGTAATCTGAAATTTCAGTCTCTCTCGCATATCAGGCTTTTATATCGGAAGTTCTTTTTTTTTTCAACGAAAAGAAAGCCGCGGCGCTCTCTTTCTTTTCAATTTGCTTGCGTCAGACGTTTCGATCTATCCAGCTCGGTGTTTCTCAAAAATCAACTCTCCCGCATACATCTTTCTCTTATCGGTATACGCACCTGCCGACGATGCAAAATTCGCGACAGGGGCGAAATGTAACGTCTCGCCGGGGCGAGGAAAAAGATTTTTCGATACGAAATTCCAGGGGTGCCGACGGATTTTCTTCTCAGGTTGCGCGAGTATTGATTCGAAAGGGGGAGAAAACCGAGAGGATGATGTTACAGAGAAAATAAAAACGGGGAAGAAACAGAAAAGGGAAAAGGGAAGAGAAGAGAGTAACAAAGGCAGCGGAAGAAAGTATGCGGTTCGATGTCGGGGCGACTTGTTGTCCCGACATCGGGGTGCAATTATCTGACCTGCAGCAATGAGTCAGGTTCGCTCGTGTCCCATTGCTGTGTAATAGCGTCGTAATTACTTTAAGCCGTGATCGATCGGACGGAATACAACCGGATCGGCGAAAAATAAACCAAAGCGCTGAAAAAGCGATACATTACAGCCAATGATTATGTTACTCGATAGCTCTTCTTGATGGTGCGATATTGCTGTAACAACTTGGTAATATTTTATTACACTCATTTAAATAAAAAAAAAGAAGTATATCTGTGCGGGGCTGCGCATATTGCGTTCCCTCCCCTTCTTTCTCTCTCTCTATCTATCTCTCTTTGTATGTACGGCGTGTATCATAACGACAATGTCTCGATAAATTTTTTATAGCGACTCTTATCTTTCTGACACATGTCTGCATAATACAAACTGTTCGCTGAAAGTGATATATTTCTCGTGACGACGTCGAAAGGAAGTTCTCTTCTCCACGGTCTATAAGCGGGGCCGCCTAATCTTCTTTTTTCCTCTTTCTTGTTCGCTTCCCCCCAATCCCGCCCCGCCTACTCCCTTTCCCGTCCTTGTTCCTTTTTTTCCTTGTATGCGCGAAGACGATTTCCTTCCGCTTCTCGAGAAGCCCTTGGCTAACCGACCGCGTCCCGATGGTCCTATTTCTCGAAAGCACGAGAGGGAGAGAGAGAGAGAGAAAGAGAAAGAGAGGGAAAGAGAGATCAATCGTTCTCTCAACTCGAACGAAGAGCTACGTGACTACCCTTTCTCGAGACACTTCTTTTGTCAAATGACCTCCGTCTCTACTTCTTCGTCAAAGCGAGAAACGCTACACTCGTTGTCGTAATTTCGACTGTTACGGGGTTTTCGAAAGCAGTTTAATTAAAGTAACGTCTAACGAGGAGAGAAACGCGCGCGCGGACGAGACGACTATCTTGTGTTGTTTCTATTTATTCAGGATCTTCTCCACGTTTCGAATTCGATCCCACAAAGGTCGCAACCCTTGCTTATTTAACTATCCGGCGGAGAGCCGTGTACGACAAGCTCTTTCACCTCTTCGCCATGAATTTCCCTTCATCGACCTCTCGAGAAGACTTTGTGCGACGGGCCACCCTTTCTGTTATTTCCGTTTTCGCGAGGAATACCAACCCTCTCGGGGAATAAATTAATTCATCCCCTTTTTTCTCTCTCTTCAGGAATATATATGTATGTACGTGATGCGTTTAAAAGTCGCGACAGGATTCTTGATCGAAAAACCACTGTGGAAATCGATGAACACACACACATATATATATATATATATATATCCATCTTTTTTTTTATGAAACATTCATCAGACGCGATGCGAAGCGCGACGGAGTAATTCTCTGCGTTTTCTTTTCATTTCAAATGTCAGACGTTCATTAATCCCCCATGGAGACCACCGTTCCCTCTTCCCGTCTTTTAAATGGCGATGGCGTTCTGACGATATAAAATCGAAAAAAAGTCGCCTTTGACGCGGCGGCCGGACGCGCGGCGGGACATTAATCAAGCCTTCTCTCCTCGGTATTTATTTTCTTCTGTGTTGTCCGTGGGAAAAAAAACAGCGCGGAAATTGCTCGACACGAGTCCCGGAGCGAAAGGAAAGAGACAAAACGTCCGCGAGCGCGCGCGTTTTGAAACGAGGCAAAACCCGGCCCCGCGGCCGCGATCGGACACAATATAAAGAAAAACTCTCCCGTTTCGGGATCACAAAACCCTCTCTCACGGGTAGTGTCTCTCTCTTAAACGGTGCAGTCAAATGAAATGTTGACGCGTTTCTTTTCTTCCACTCGAATTAACCCGACGTCAAAACAAGTGTGACACAATTGAATGAAAGTAGAAAATAAGAGAGAGAGAAGGTGTGTGTGTGTGTGTATCCGCGATATTACGTATCGAGGGCGGGAAAGGGAGGAGTATAATTTTTATAGACATCAGATTATTCAATCAAGCGAGAGTGACGTGGCGCGCATAAATTTATAAAGTGCTGTATATCTTTCATTAACTCTCCCGTCGGAGATCACTTCTCTCCCCGACGGAAGCTGGAGAAAATTATTCCTCTTATCCCCGCCGGTTTATTAATCAACCTCTCTCGCGTTCGCTTCGCTCTCGCTCGGGGCAAAAATCTCATTTGAGGGGGTGACCCGGGGAGCGGGGGGAATCCGAACCCCGACGGATTAATTCCCGTCCACTTAATATGAAAAAGTTTAAAGACAAAAAAAAAACGTCTTCTTTAAAAATCCGGAAATATCGCGCAAGAAATGTTCCGAAGCAGCCGACGAAGAATCTCCAAGTCAATTGCTATTCGAGTAACAGGATGTTTCTAGAAATTTAAATACACCCTTTTTTTTTTACCTCGTCTCGCTCGGCGCGAAAGGCGGCGCGGAGGATCGATTTTATGTTAATCCCCGACGTCGAATTTCTCGTTCTCGCTCGCGCGCACTCGAACATGACAGTTAATAGATTTGCAAATAACAACGCAGATCTCCACACCGTATCCACCGCGACTGCGATGTGATTTATTGCGGCTTTGCTTTCAAAGATACATTCTCGCGATTTGCGCGGCGGATTCGTCCCAAGGCGACGACGTTCAACGTCTTACTTAGCTCGAAGGCTAATCGTCTTCTATTAATTGCGATTATACTTCGAGAGACGAGGGAATTGTGCGCGTTCTTATCGCAAGGACGTGATTAATGCGTTTAAAGCACCGTGACATTTAAAGAGAGAGAGAGAGAGAGAGAGAGAGAGACGAGATTTGCCCGCGAGTCAAAAGTAAATTCTCTCTCAAATCTGCCGCCGTTCTTTCTCACGTTTCTCATTTACGAGTGTGTGGATCGCGCACGTGTGTTTCAGGTCTGCGCAAGGTTTATCCATATTACTTCACCTTCACGACATTCACGAAAGGTCGATGGGTCGGCGAGAAGATCCTGGAGGTGTTTGCGAGAGAATTTCGCGCTCATCCGGCCGAGGAGTACGAGAGATGTATTCGCGCGGGCACCCTGACGGTCAACTATCAGAAGGTGGACGTCGACTACAGGCTGCGGCACAACGACCTACTGGCTAACGTCGTCCACAGGTGTGTATGTCACCGATCCGCGTTTCGATTTGGCGTACGCCAATGATTTGATTTCTTTTTTTTTTCTTTTCTTTTCTTTTTTTCTTGTTTTCCGATCATTCGTCGCAGGCGCGACGCGAAGCTTATCCTCGCGCGCGCGCGCGCGCGGCTATTGTGAGTAACCGCGCCGCGGCGTCGACTTGCGGCGAAAGTTTGATTGAATCGCGGAGATTGATACAATATCGAACGGGCCCGTGGAATAACTGAAAACGGGAAACTGCATTCGCACGCGCGCGTACGCTGCTACATACACGCCGTTTCCATTACACGATCGTTTGCTGGTAATTTAGTTCACGAAAATGCAATCTTGTGCGACACGCAAAAAGCGAACACTCTCTCGGGATAGAAGAGTATTGTGTTGTTGTGGGGTTTTTTTTTTTTTTTTTTTTTTTTTTGGAGAGAGGAGGATTTGTTGAGAAACGAAGTTCGGTAGAGATTGCGGATGAATTTTTAAAATGGCATTTCATCACACCAAAGTGCTGATTTATTATTTACACGGCAAAGAGACAATTTTGCTATTTAGATACTTGGGACACATCGGCGCGGGAGTACGTGAGCCTAATTTTTTACGGGGCCGCGTTCGCCGGCCAAGGCAGAAATTCCAACGCGGGGCGAGTCTTTCCCTTCGTGTGTTCCGCCTATAATATTTGACGAGAAGGGCCTATTTTGGCCCACGTATAAATCCGGATTGGCTTCGACAGGAATTTACTTTGATTTCAGAAGAGCCCCGGGAATTTGGCGAACCCTGTCGAGCATGCGCAAATGAAATCTGCTTTAATTTGGGGAATTTCCGTGTTATCCGCTTAAGCTCGTTTCGTCCTTTGGCGCAAAAACGCGATACGCTGCGTGTCGTCGTGTGATTGACACAATCGCGGCGGTTGAGAGGATTATCCGCGTTTTCTCTCCGCTTATAGAGGGAGAGAAGAGGCCGTTTTCGCGCCGTTTTCTCTGTTTCGCGCGCGAAATCAGAAAATTCGACGATACGAAGGGAAAAAAAAACGTAACGCGCGCAACGAAGTTTTATTGATAAGTCGACACGTGAACGACGGGAAAGTGTCGCGTTCTGTTACCTCTCGTCTAATGCGGATCAAATTTAGTTTGATTTACACGAGACGGAAACGCGCGCAGAAAGCGCGACTCAACTGTAAGGCGGAAAACATCGGATTAGTACCGGATTGCAACGGTACTTGAAACAGAAATCTAAAATGCATAATAATACGCATATAAACGGTTTAATTTAGCGCTGGTGCACATGTTTTGCTCGATGCCTGCGGAAGACGAGCGGAGAGAGAAAGTATCCATCTTTCTGTCAAAGTAGAAATTATCACACGTTCGAAACATACCTTGGCATCCTTCCAGTATTGTGGGGCGGAATATTAATAAATTAAACAAACCGCGTATCACCGTTCTTAAACCGCGCTTGTGTACAAGGATTTGATCCGTTTACAAGCGAGATTGCGATGTGGATGTAGACGAAAACCTGCAACTAACGTGGCACTTTTATTTCGATTTCTAGAGCAGCGCGTTGAAAGAAAAGTTGATGTCGAAGTTCGGAGAGGAATCAAAGTTGGAAGAAACATTTTCTATTCGAGTTTCCTTCTCTTTGTAATATAAATAAATGATACGCGTTATTAAAACTTAACAAAAAATGTTACTGGTATTGTAGAAATTTTTTAAAAAAACGTCTTGTTTTTAATTTTTTAAAAAACTGTTTTAAAAAACTAACAATTCTAATCTTATATTTTCAAATCACATGTTACGCGTCGAACAAATTTTAATTATCTTCTCTCGATATCTGGTTGCTGATGTTACACGTCAATAATTACATCTCCTCCCGTTCTCCAAATGTACGAAAGGCGACGGTAAGTCCGGACGCACTCGTAAAACAAACTCTCCTTAGACAAGAGCGGCGCAGATAAGACGAGAGTGAATCCTCGTGTGTACGTATGTGCGCGCGCGCGCTCGTAGGACCACATGGCCGGGACTCTCGCGCGCGATTATATCCTTGGCACGGATAATGGAAAGAATCTATACACACGCGCGCGCTCGTTCCGACGTTTTTAAACGCGCCAACGCTCATCGAGGCTCTCGCGCTATCGGCACACGGTTATCACGCACACACACACACACGAGAACCTTCCGAAGACGATGAATGTACCGCCGCGTACGCGTTCGTCTGCTCTTCGCAGATAAAACTCGCGATTTTGGATCCTTGAGATTCTGCGAATACTCGGCGAAGACGAATGGCCGACGTCTTCGAATCGGAAAGAGAACACGACGTATTCTTCGCTCGAGTGCTTTGTTTCATTCGCGAAGCGTTTTCCATCATCCCGGATGACGGGTTTTGACGCGCGTGGAAGTTGGATTAAATTATTTCACGTCTCCCGGTGCGGCGCGGCGTGGCGCGCCGTTAATACCCGCTCTGTCCGCTTGCATGCTAATTCCGGCAATTATCCCGGCAATTGTACTTTTCAGGTGTGTGTGCTCGCGCGCGCAAGCGCAAGAGCAACATATATTTACATGCTACTCGTGTCCCACATTTCTCCGTCCCTCCCGTCCGTCCGTCCGTTCGTGTATATCTGCCTGTCGTTTTAACATTGTAAATTCCGGAACTACTGTTCATTATTTCGCGGAGTATAATAACCGTCAACATTCCGCCGGTTTCTACACGATAAGATCCGTAACAAACAGACGCGCGAGGCAAACGGGTTTGAGAGAACCGCCGGCAGGCTTTTCTCTGCGCGTCGATCGAGTTTTTGATGGGAGAGCAAAGTTAACCGGGTGAAGGCCGGCTGGATAGAAGACGTCGCTGGCAATCGTTAGTAGTAACAAACAATGAGAGATTCTCGAACGTTGTTCTCGTGAGAAGACGAGGAGATATTTGCTTCTTCACGCGAATTTCGAGATTCTCTTGAAAGCGAACAAAAAAAAAAAAGTCGCGCTTTTTCCAATTAAAATGCGATCGCTCAGCGAAAGGCAGAAGATCACCGATACCGCGAGCGGCGCGGGGGCACTCGTGTGCCCCCGCGTATCCCTCGCTCGCGAGCACGAGATCTCGCAATTAAAACGGGATCGCGAAAATAATCTAGGTCGATGTACGGATAGGTAGGAAAGGCCGCGCCGTTTGTATTTGCATTATCGGAACGATGACGTTATACACGCGTTCGTTTTGCGTCTGCGCCCGCGTTACATGAAGACGGAATACAAATATATTGAGAGAGTGAGAGAGAGAGAGAGAGAGAGAGAGAGAGAGAGAGAGAGAGAGAGAGAGAGAGAGNGAGAGAGAGAGAGAGAGAGAGAGAGAGAGAGAGAGAGAGAGAGAGAGAGAGAGAGAGGCGCGAGAAAGAACAACATTGGCGTTCCGACCCGGGCTTGTTACGATAGGCGAACGAACAATCGCCGAGATGGATGGAAAGTGAATTGGCGCGACCTACAATACATCCGCTTCGCCGTTTTATCGCGTTGTTACGACGGCGCGCCGTCCAAGTGTTTGTGCCGCAAAAGTTACGGTGTGTATATATATATATATGTGACGTGCGAAAATTTCGCAAACGGCTATTGTTGCGGGATCGTGGAAAAACGTTTTTCCACGACACTTGAGGGAAAACCGCGCTGCTGACTGTGAATCTTTCGCGAAAGAAACGTCCCACTTGGCGGTCGCGTCAATTCGCATTAGCGGCGGTCCTTTAGCGTCATTCCTGGCACGGTAAATCATTGTCATCGGAGCGGAAATTCATCAGATTTTTTCACTTGGAATATTTTTTTACCCGAAAGAAGAAGTAAATACACAAACGATCCGGGTGATATTTCTCGCGCGCAACGTCTTGCGCGATATTGCAAGAACTGGTGAAATTAAAGCGAAGCGCGAAATATTCTCGCAAGAATGTCGCGACTTTTTAGTTGTCGGATTTTAACCGTGAGATATTTTGTTCTTTTTTTTTCTGAAGGTGTGTGTGTGTGTGGTTCGATCCGGAAATAATTAAAACGCGCGATGGCTTTCGGTTCTTTTTCTCGGTTTTGATTTCTCAAAGGCGTCGTGTTTTGCCGATGCTTCAGTCTCTCATCTGTTTGTCGCCGACTGACATCATCCGCTCGAATCGTCGTCGTTTAATCGTCGTGGAATTTCTCGGATCGTCGTAGCGCGCTCGAGGACGAAAGAAGGGAACAATTTTTTTTTCTTTTTTTTTTTTTTTTCTGTGTCGCGGCGCGTCTTTCCCTCGAGGGAATTCACGACGGGCCGAAACGAAAGGAACAGAGCTTCGATATTCTCGCCTCGAGCGAGAAAGCCGAACGAGAATCCTCGAAGGACGCGACGAGAGACGAAGCGCCCGCGCGCGCGCCGGCACGTTGCGGCTCGGCTGCGCGCGAAGGACACGTGTCCATCGCGTGGCGCAATCGCGCGTAGTCGATACGGCCGGATAACGCGACCTTTCGCAATCGCCGTTTCGTTCGGATGAGTGATGGCGATGTTTACGAAGCTGAATGTTACGGCGAAGATACGGGCTTTGTCCGTTTTACTCTCCGATCGATCTCTCGAACGTCGGTCACGATAATTGATACGAGAAAAAGCAGCGGTTGTTTTTCTCCGACCGTCGAATCTCTATCTCTCATTAAATCTCTCGCGTATACGTATTTATAAATTTCTTTGCGTTGCAAAAACGTCAAGAACAAAAAACCAGAAAAAAACCAGAATGTAAATCGATCCATCGCGAATCGATTAGAGCGAATGTGCTTGTGCGGTCGAAGGCGAGTAGCTAATTGTTATCGAGCAGCGGCTAATCATACGAACCGGAGATAAAGATCTGAAAGTTTTTTTTTTTTTATGCCGCGCGCAGAGAACGCGTTTTCGATAGGATCTATTTTGAGAGATAACAGATCCGTGACGAGATCCGGGGGAGGGAGGGAAGGGGCGAACATTTTCATCCGACGTTCGTTCTTTCCATTTTTCAATTAATGCACCG